AAGAAGTAATATGTTCGGTAGAATCAGCACAGGAAATTAAGGGGGAAAGTCCAGGAACCCTTCACAAGGAGGGTGGGTGCACTGCCACCAGTACATGTGACATTGAGGAAATCAACTAGATTTAAACTTATCTTGGAATTTTGCTAATGCTCTGTAGAGTGCTACTAGCAAGTAGAACTGCCAAAATAAGCAAAACTTTACACAGATATACGATAAATCTAAAGCAATTTCCTCCCCATTGTAGATAATATAATCAGTTAAATGATCCTTAAATAAAATTGAACACTACACAGTAAGTTTAAAGGACCTCCAGATCGTATCTGAGATTTTATTTATTATATAAACATGCAATATGGTCAACTTAAATTCTTCTCGATGCATTAATTATTCTCAAGCTAACAAGTGATAGATACTCACAACAGAACTGAGCATATCAATTGTGTTTCCATGCATAGACTCTGGATTTGAGTGAGCAATTGGAGTTACAGGCAAGGATGATGCATTTTTCATTCTAGGAGTCAAAAGCTTTGTAAAGGACCATGTCCTTGAAATTAAAGGCTTCTCATGTGTCCCCGCAGGTAAGCCTCCCAGGGCTAGAGTGGCAGCCTTCTGAATCTCTGAAGTAGTATTCCGATGTTTGAAACTTAGTTTTGGAAGGAGGCTTTTTATGGTTGATTTAGCTTTTGATGATGAGGGACCTGGGGACCCACTGATTTTGGCTACACTAGGGCTGGGTAATGGGGAGAAGTTTACTCTTTTGGGAGTGAGACTCGGCGTTGGGGGCATGTTTATCCTCACAAAATCTTCTTTGGCATCCTCAAGACTTCTTGAAGGTATCTGTAAGATGAGGTTCTGTCGTCTCCATGGTTGACCAGGAGGAGCTTCTTCAATTATCTCAGCGGCGTCCCCACCCTGCAAAAGAAGAGCAAAAGGAAATCATCCAGGATCAGCGAAAATACGCATTTTACATTCACATTATCTTTTCCTGATCATGCCAGTTATACAACAATCTCAGACAAGCACATCTATGATGAACGGAAAAATAAGAAATGAATATTGAAGAACTAGCTCGAGTCAATTTCACTTCACTTGCATAGGTATGGCAGATTGAGGACAAAGCCAGCATAAAGGGAAGACCAAAGGGGATACATATTGAAGCAGATTTATAGAAGAACATAATCATGTGATTTGTCCCTTGTTCAGAGCAACATGAAAATACATAATTTTAAGCCAAAATCAGCAGTAAGCTTTTTTGTCCAAAAAAATTATAATAAAAAAATA